TCTGGGGCTGGTTGTCCCGCAGGAATGTCAGCACAGGCGGGCTCTCAGGACAGTCACTCCTTCCCTCAGAAGGACTTGGGGGTGGGGGTGATCCTGTTACTTTGCCGGCGGCCCCCAGGGTCGTGTCCTGTCCAGGAGGAGGTTGGCATTGCGTCATCTCACCCCCAGGCCCCTCCCTCCTGTGTAGGACATGTGGGCGCTGTCTTCCCATGTCAACCATGGCACGTCCCAGAATCTTTCCACATATCAGAACAGCCTGGACCGCTCTCCCCAGCTCCAAGCACAGCCTGCCCGTGCCTTTGACGGGGAAGTCTGTCTCCGCTATTTGACTTTGTGTGCCCACAGACGTGGTGCAGACGCTGTGTGGGTGAGCAGCTGCTCAGAGTCAGATCTGAGGTTGGCAGCTCTCCACAGCATGCTCCTTCCTTGTTGGCTGCGACCTCTCATAGGAGATGGTGCAGGAGAGCTGATGGAGGGGTGCAGAGCAGGTGTGTTACACAGCATAGCATGGGCATGTGGGGGGCCCTGCTGGCCCAGGAAGGTGTGTGCTCACACCTGTGAAATCAGGACATGGTCCCTCGGGTTGATGTCATGGAGTTCATGCCTGCTCTGTGGTGGTCAGGTGTCCAGAAATGAAGCTGCTTGCGTGGGAGGCTGATGACCTTCTCAGCGTCACACAGCTTTTCCTAGAGGTGCCGGCAGACATATGCCGGGCCGCTCGCAGGCTCGGCCCCAGGCTGCTGCCGTTGCCTAACAGGCGATAACTGGAACTTAACAGGAAGGTTAAGTTGTCTCCCATTTGCTCAGCCATTTTGGAGGAGGACGTGTCAGCTTTGCTCCGGGCACTTCTCCAGGGCCTCCTGCAGCAGGCTTCGCCCCTGACACCTGGGCAGGTGTGGCCGTGGCCGAGGTGGGACAGCGGTCGGGCTTGTGGCCTCTGCCAGCTGCCGGGCCTGGCGTTTTCCGTGCTGCATTTTGGTTCTTGCTGTGTGTTATCTGCAAGGGTAAAGAGACCTTTTGCAGGCCGGCAGCAGTGTCTCAGGTGAGGTATACACCTTAGGAATGGATTTCTACTGTGGCCACCCACTGGGCGGGCTCTTTGTTCACTGATGAATGAAAAGCAAGAAGTGGCCAGCAGCGGTGGCGGGTGGCGGGTGTGCGCTGCGGACCCCGTCCCCTGCCTGGGGACCCTCTGGCACCTGGGCCTCTGTGAGGGCTCACATGCCTCTGGGTCCTGGTTGCCTGGACGGCACTTGACCCAGCCCTCGCTCCCTGTGGGCATTCTGTCTGGGACCCAGTGGCCTCCCTCACCAACACCACTGGGACATGACAGTGGCCTCTCAGACTGGGAGGGACCCTGGCCTGTCTCCCTCCAGCACGGACACCTCCTCTCTGAAGCCTGGCAGGTCTCTTGGTCAAAAGGAAGTAGCTGAGCCATGGTAGCTAGGAATTGCCTGTTCTCTCAGACGTCCACGAAGCTTGCCCCAAGTGGTGCAGTGTCCTCAACTGTAAGCATCACGGAAAATTTTCTGGGTCCCATCTCAGCGTCCCTGGTGTTGCTAAACCAGACCTGGACGCGTGCCCCCATCTGCTCAGAGCCACCCTTGCTGGGCACTGCAGGACGCAGAGCCCTTTGACCCTCGGTGGATGCCGGGCGCGGATGTGGGCTGTGTCCGGCAGTGTTTCATTTTGATTTGGGGTGTATGACCCCTCTCTGCAGAGGCTGATCAAACCCCTGTGTCTGGAAGTTTCGAGGCAGGACCACTGGTACCTAGTTGGCAGTTAGAGGAAAAGAGTTTGGGTCTGGGGCCCATTGTTTGGCTTTTAATTAATAATTAGGCATTAATGAGATGTGCAAAGGTGTCCAGAGAGCCAGGAGAAGGACTGACCCTGCCTGGGGGCCGCCCTGGGCTCTGCCCGCCATGCCCTCCTGCCTGGCACCTCTGAACGGGCCTGTGAGGGAGTCGGGCCACTAAGGCCTCCCCTGGCCAAGCTGGCTGCTGATGCCCAGAGTCCTGAACTGAACCATGGTGCTGTCGGCCGCAGGGCGTGGCCTGGGTCTGTGTGCTGTGGGGTCACTCAGGTGGCCCTGTGGGCGGCCCTGCTGTGTTACCCGTGGAGCCGCTTGTGGCCCTCTGTGGCCTTGGGTTTGGGTAAATTCTCTTGCTACCACCAAGTGTGCTCCTGGGTGTCAGGGACCTCCTGAGTCTGGGACATTGACTTTTTTGTCCCATTTGGGCCCCTTGGGCCTTGGGAGCATGGGGATTCTGCTGTTTGTCCCACCTGTGACTCTGAAATTCCCCTTTCCTGGCCCCTGAGGAACTGACCGGCTTGGCCCAGACCACCTACACCCTGGGTGGGAAGTCTTCAGAGGGTCTTCCTAGCGTGGCCTTCTGCCCGCCAGCTCACGCAGGGGCAGCCTGCCTGTCTCAGCACTCCTCCTGCCCTCGGCCCAGTGCCTGTAGCGTTGGGTCAGCATGGGTACGAGCACTGTGGCCTGGGTGCCACCGAGACCTAGCCGCCTCCTGTCCCATGTCCTTCCGCAGTCTCACACCAGGGCTTGTCAGCTGGACAGTGGGTGTCGCTTACTCTGTGAGGGGTTCCTCACAGACAGTGGCTCCTGCTCCCTGCCAGCCGTGTCAGGCCCCCAGGGGCTGTTTGACCCTCCCCCAGGTCTGGTGCCGCCGGGTGTGGCAGACGCTGCTATCCATCCCCTCCTGGCCCTGTCCTGACCTGGGGCCTGCCTTTCAGCAGGGAGTTCAGGGACCCAAGTGTGGTTTCCTTTGTAGGGATGCGGTCCACCAGGATCCTCTGCTTTGGGCACAGGGACACTCATGTAGCAGTGGCTGCAGTGGGGCCACTAGGCATCCACTCAGCATGCTCCTGGGCCTGCACCTCCCTCCTGGTCCCCAAGTGGCCAGTGTGGGCGGGCCAAAGGGCCCCCAAGTGATGGCTGACGTTAGCCCCTCTGAGCAGTGCTTAGGGCAGCACATGTCCTGTCTGCTGTGCAGGGGGCACTCTGGCCCTTTCTCCAAAACTAACAGGACCAGCCTGAGTGCTGTGTCCACGCGGGGCCCCTGAACAGGCTCCTGGGGTCTGCCCCGCCCCACACCCTGCTGTATGGACGCGGCTTGGGCTGATGGGCCCCATGCAGGCAGGGGGTGGCCCACCTTGCAGCCCGAATTGTCTGACACCCTCCAGCAGCCTCCCTGAGGTTTCTCGGAACCAGCAGCAGCTGGCAACGAGCCTGTGCTTTTTTCTCCGTGAGAACCCCGCTCGTTTCCGCTCGGTTCCTCCCGTATCCTATCTGCTTAGACAGGAAGCCCCACCCTTGCCGCGTAACCTTCCCCCGCCCAGTCTGCGGGTGGGGGGGGGACGGACCATACAGTGCAGGCCGAGGTCGGGCCACCAGCCTGTACCAGGACTCGTGTCCCCTAGAAAGCAACATGGAGTGGGTCTGTCTTTCCTGAATGATGGTCTTCACAGTTGTCTGTGGGTTCACCTCTGAAATGTCCCCAAGGAGCTTTGTGCACACCGGGCTCAGCTGCAGTGCAGCAGGCCGTCATGGCAGCGGCTTCTGTGGAGGACAAAGGCCAGTGAGGCCCCCTGGTCCCATGTGTCCAGGTCATTGTCTTTCCTGGGACCTGAGGGCTGCACGCTTCCTGGAGTGAGGCTCTGGGGTGAGGCTTGCTGGCTCCCCGCCGCTGCCTGTTTGTCCCGAGACGGGCTGCAGGACCCGTGGCTGCCGGGGAGTGTGGGGGGTGCAGGCCCTGTGCATACACGCACTGGCTCACTCGCTCCATGGACCTGGACGGCACCTTCCCATGAAGCCATCAGGCCACAGGCCCTCCACCCAGGATCCAGCCTGTCTCAGGTCTCGTGTCATAGTGAAACCCTGGTGAGCAGGGTGGCTTGACTGACCACTGTCCCCCTGCACCCCCACCCCCAAGAAAGCGTGTGCCCCCTCAGGGCAAGTCCTGTGAGATGGTATTTTCTCCAATGTCCCTGGAGGTGGGGAGGCCACCTCCCCCACATTCTTTCTGTCCTCCCGAGTGAGCCCTGGGAGAGTGATCGAGGATTGTCCCCGTGGCCCCTAACCCTAAATTCATGGTTGTGCCTTGGCCAGCTGCCCTGGGTATCCCCAGGGCCTCTTGAACATGCCAGGCCCCTTGTAGTTCCTGCTCAGGTCCCAGCCTGGGGGGCGGGGCACCATCCATCTTCCAATGACCATGCCATTTCCAGGAAGAGACCATGTGTTCCTGGGAAACGCACCATTGGTTCGGGCAGTTCACTCGCATTCACACTCGTCCAGAAGCCCACTAAGATGCCAGCATTGCACAGTGAGACTGAGGAAATGTGAACAACTTCCCATAAAGCTCAGCTCACCCATTGAAAAGGGGGTCCTTTATTTTGAAAATGTTTCCTTGGGGTGGGGGTCATTGCAGAAGGCCACGCCCCACCCCACAGTGCAGCTGCCTCAGGCTCAGAAGCAGTTTTCGAAATTATAGTTGGTGAAATCCAGAAGGTTGGGGATGCTGGGTGACGTCCCTGGAAAGCTCTGGGCTGCCCTACAGAGGGCCCCACACTTGGCCAAAGAGCCTGCCCACTGGGGGCTGCCCCTTCCCAGACTGGTCGCCTGGCACAGGGAAGCAGTGGGCTCTTCTGAGCTGACTTTCAAAGTGTCCTCGGCTTCTGCCAGCTGTTCATCACCAAGTTAGCGCATACTCAGGGCTGTGGTGAGAGCCAAACCCTCAAGTCCCCACTGAGAACCCACTTGGGTCCTTGGCGCCCTCCCAGGGCCTCTGCAGTTGTGGGGTGATTGTGGCTACTGGCCCCACTACATGTGCGGCAGCGCCCAGCTGATCCCGTACACGGGTCAGGGTCCACACGGCACTGGACGTGCGTTGCGTTGTGCACAGTTGAGTCTGCTGTCTGGGAGACCCTACCCAGGGCGTGGACGCTGCCGGAGGTGCCAATGGGAACTTTTGTGTCACTTGCAGGTCTCCTCCGAGCCGCCAGTCTCCATAAGAAAAACAGATGATGCTCCCTCCCAGCACCCTGCGTCTTCAGAAAAAGACAAACAGTCCGGCTGGCTGCGGACCCTGGCCCCCTCCTCCAGCAAGGTTCAGCGTGGGGTGGGGCGGAGGCTTGTGGGGAGGGCATGCGGGGGCGGGGCCTGTGGGGCAAGGCCAGTGGGCTGGGGCGGGGCTCTGGTCCCTGACACTGGCACCTCTCTCCCAACAGAGCCTCGGCTGTGTTCACCCTCGCCAGCGCCTCTCCGCCTTCCGACCCTGGTCCCCTGCAGTTTCTACGAGTGACAAAGAACTCTCCCCACACCTCCCAGCCCTGATTCGAGACAGGTGAGTGCCTGCTCTGCTGGGGGGCGGGGGGGTGGTCAGCGTTGAACTCTTCTGCCTCCATGTCAGTGGTTGGCAGCTCCTTCTGGGAGCTGACCGGAAAGGTGTTTTCAAACCAATGGGAGTGATGCGAATTGGGAGTCTGTGGGAGTCTGAGTGCTGGTGCCACTGCTCCTCCGACTCACACCAAACTCCCAAGGCTCTGCCACGTGGCCCAAGTGCAGAACGCTGTGTGCCTGTGGCAGACAGTGAAGCACCCGTCTGTGTTCCTGCCTGCACGTATGGCCGCGTCCCATGACTCTCGGGCCTGTGCATAACGTCTGTTACAGATGCTCCCGCAGCCCTGCTGTCACCTGAGTCACCATGGGCTGCGTGGCAGTGGGACCTGCCTCACGTTTGAGTTATGGGCGTCTGTGTGCACAGCATGTATGTGATTTGTAGGCTACATGCCCAGGCCCCAACTGCCTGGTCAAGGCCATTGCAAGTTTTGGTCATTTTGATGGATATCAGGGTGAGCACATCTAGAACTTTCTGTGGCATCAGGAATTGGCTGTGCCTTCTCCACTGGGTATGGCCCATCGTGGACGTGGCGGCCAGCATCAGTGTTCCAGCTTCCTAAGGTCCTTGGCCAGTGTCACCTTCACACATTCCATAGGCGACTATCCCACACTGAGTGTGGGGGTGAGGCATGGGGGTAGGGCGGACACCTGCAGCCTCAATGTGTCTGTGCCCCTGCAGCTTTTACTCGTACAAGAGCTTCGAGACGGGTGTGGCCCCCAATGTGGCCCTGGCCCCGCCGGCCCAGCAGAAGGTCGTGAGCAGCCCACCGTGTGCCACCATTGTCACCCGGGGTCCCGAGCCCCTCGCCACCTGCATCCAGCCCAGGAAGCGGAAGCTGACGGTGGACCCGCCCGGGGCCTCAGAAACACCAGTGCCCTCAGTTGCCCCAGAGGACGACAAGGACTCAGAGGCCGAGGTGGAAGTGGAGAGCAGGGAGGAATGTGCGTGTCAGCTCCGTCCTGTTCGAGTCCTGCCTGGCCAGCCCTTCCTGGGGGCGGAGCTGCTGTGTGAGCTCGCGGTAACCTGCGCCTCTGTTTGTTTCCACAGTCACCTCCTCCTTGTCCTCGCTGTCCTCTCCGTCCTTTACCTCATCCAGCTCTGCCAAGGACCTGAGCTCCCCGGGTGTGCACGCCCCGCCCGCCCCGCCGGCCGTCCCGGACGCTGCAGCCCCCGCGGAAGCCCCCAGCGGTGGGCTGGAGGCCGAGTTGGAGCACCTGCGGCAGGCGCTGGAGGGCGGCCTGGACACCAAGGAGGCCAAAGAGAAGTTCCTGCATGAGGTGGTGAAGATGCGCGTGAAGCAGGAGGAGAAGCTGAGCGCCGCCCTGCAGGCCAAACGCAGCCTCCACCAGGTGAGCCACCTGCCGCCAGCGCTGGCGGGTCTGTGCTCGGGTAGGAGGAGCCCGAGACGGCCCCGCCCCTCCACTCTGCGGGTGGTCTGCAGGAAGTGGCTTTGCAGGGGCGCTTCCTAAAGCACAGATTTGTGCCCCAGAAGGCGGTGCCATCAGGCCTCCCAGCAGCGTGTGTGCCCGTGCGACGCAGGGCGTCTTCCAGCCTGGCTTGGGAAGGACAGGGCTCCGCACACGCGTGCACACGCCACCTCTTTATTCCCTGCACACCGGATTCTAGATGATTTCCATGGAAGTGACTGCTTTCTTTTGAAGAGGGAGCTGAAGGCTTGAAGCTGCCTGGGCCCCACCTCCACCTCCCTCTCACCCCAAGCGGGACAGACAGCAGGGTCACCAGCAGGTCCTTGAGCTGCAGCGAGGCTCCCCAACGCCACCTTTCCACACTGTGTTTTCTGACACGTGGGAAAGGCTGAGTTCCCAGTGCCTCCGGGAGGGCGGGGCCTTCACATGGGGCTTTGCGGCTTGCGTGGCCTCACAGGCCCTCAGTGTCAACTGGATTCACACCTCTGCTGATGTCTGGCAGCTCGGGGGACAGCTTCACACGTGGGCTGCTAGCACAACACAGCCCTGCCGCCCTCCCTAAGTGTATTTCAGGCTTCAGGCACTGGCTCAGGATGTCCCCGCCCCCTGGTTCTGGTTGGAGGTGTGACCCATTTGCATATTCATAAGCATGTTCGCAGGGCGGGGCGAGTCACTGATAAGGAGCTGGAGAAGGGTGTGGGAGGGGGTTGTCTCCATCTGGCTGCGTGGGGGGCCCAGGGCCCTTAGAAGGCAAGATGCCTGAGGCCCCCCCCAGGAGCCTGAGCCCTAGGGGGCTGGGCATAAGGCGGGACTTGGGGGAGGAGGCAGCAGGCCCACAACTAGGTGCTGGACCGAGCACCGAGCACGGAGCCCTCTGCGGCGGGAGTGGGAAGAAGCGCTAGGAGATGGGACCTGGTGGGGTCGGGTCAGGGTGCCCGGAAGGCAGGAGGCGTGTGAAGGCAGAGGGAGCCCTCGTGTGGGGCACCTCCCAAGGTCGGGAGCACCATGGAGCGCCCAGAGCGGCGGGAGGGCAGGCAAGGGGACGCTGGGCTCGAGCGGTGGCGCGTGCCAGCAGGCTGGCATCTGGTGGGCCGGGGGCCGGGGAGGTCTGGGCGGGGCAGTGACCCCGAGCCTGGTACCCCAGGAGCTGGAGTTCCTGCGCGTGGCCAAGAAGGAGAAGCTGCGGGAAGCCACGGAGGCGAAGCGGAACCTGCGGAAGGAGATCGAACGCCTCCGCGCGGAGAATGAGAAGAAGATGAAAGAGGCCAACGAGGCCCGGCTGCGCCTTAAGCGGGAGCTGGAGCAGGCGCGGCAGGTCCGGGTGTGCGACAAGGGCTGTGAGGCCGGCCGCCTGCGCGCCAAGTACTCAGCCCAGGTACACGGGGCCCAGTGCAGGCGAGGCCGCGGGGCAGAGCTGTGTGGCTGGGAAGTCGTGGCTGTCCTGCCAGCCAGGGTCCGGGAATAGGCGGTGGGCACAGCAGCTCCTCCTCCGGCCTCACTGATGCCCCAGGGGCCTGGCCTCGGCAGTGGCAGCCGGAGGCCAACGCCCGTGGGGTTTGGGGAGCACCCACCTTTTGGGCTCAGTGTGCTGGGCTGGTGGCAGGAGCGTTCCAGACTCTTCCAGGCCGTGGTCACTGGGTGCTCTCGCCAGCAGCCTGCGTCCTGGTGGGCGGCGTCTGGCTGGGTGGCGCGTGGGTGTGTGTGTGGGGGGGGAGGGGGGCGCTCCTGACACATGGCGTCCTTGCAGATCGAGGACCTGCAGGTGAAGCTGCAACACGCGGAGGCTGACCGCGAGCAGCTCCGGGCCGACCTTCTGCGTGAGCGTGAGGCCCGTGAACATCTGGAGAAGGTGGTGAAGGAGCTGCAGGAGCAGCTGTGGCCGCGGCCCCGCCCGGAGGCTGCGGGCAGCGAAAGCGTGGCTGAGCTGGAGCCCTAGCCGGACCCACTGCCTGCTGCCCCGGTGCGGACGCCACGGGGAGAGGGTGACGGCGCCATGCCAGCCGCCAGCCGGAGGCTCTGCGTGCATCGTGGGGCCTGCCCTCTTTCCAGTCCATATAGCACAACGTCTTACTGTGCCTACAACCAAGCGAGTGTTTGGAACCACATACTTTTGGAATCCACTGCAAAATTTTCTACTGGCCAAGTTCAAGTGCGCAAGCGGGGTCCCCAGCTGCAGCCAGAAACAAGGCCAGCTCGGTGGCTGCGTCTGGCCTCTGCTTGCTGGAACAGTAATATTACACTTTTGTTATAAGCTATTTAAAACCAATAAGGAGACTTGATATTCAGAAAAAGTCAACACGTTTTTTAATGACTAACTTTTAAAAGCCCCACCAACACGTGACGCCATCCGAGGACCCACTAAGGGAGCTGGGGTGGCAGCTGCCCGGTCCCCTGAAGCCATCACAGCTCATCTGCGCCCACGGCTGCATGAGGACAGGAAGGGTTTTTCTCCAGAGTCTATTTTTTCAGCGACGAGGACCCAGGTCTCCTGTGCTGCCGCCGGGAAGAGCGAGGAAAGCGCCGTGCGCACGGTGAGCCGGAACACTGCCGCCTTACACCCGCCTGCCGCGCCCGTCCTGTCGCCATCAGCAGGTGTGTTCAGAAATGCTGCGCCTGCGCCTAGGGGCACCGTCTGTCGGGGAGGTGACAGAAGATGGTCCGCGCCCTTTGACCACCCACAGCGACCCCTTAGCTGAGCAAACATCGCTCTTTCATCTTGGGACTGAGGCTGCAGCATTGGAACAAAACAGCATTATTTCACTTTTTCTTTTTGTTTGTTTGTTCATTTAAACGTATATTTAGAACTGCACTTTGTCAAAATTTTTCCCTTTTTATTCCCCAGTTAACTGAGGTTTTTACTCTTCAAATATTGCAAACCGATCTCTAGAGCAGGTCACACATCCTCAGTGCTCGAGTGTTTGGAAACCCCTCTGGTGCTTGGTTGAACAAGGGAAAACGAAAATGCAAAAACTGAACTTCGGGGGGTAGTTCTGTGCCTTCCAGCATCTTGTACAGCAAACCCTGACTCGTCTTTTTACCCCCAAATACCCGTCTTCAGTAGCGATTGAATCTGCCACTATCAAAAAAAGTTACTTGCATTTATTCCAAATAATCTCGTTTACTCGCGACTGTTTATGCAAATTGTATAAGGTTTCTTATGCCCAAGCTTGAAAATTATTTCCCAGTAGACAAGAGGCACTACCCACCCTGAAGCGGCGGTATTTATTTACATTAAGATCCTACGGGAATTCTTCGCCTGAGTCCGTTTTAACACCGCGCAGCCGCACGCACACGGAGGCGGAGCCGGCCGGGGCAGCCGCAGACGGCCGCGGGAGACGTGGGTGCGATATCCTCTGCAGGGTTTTGCCTTGGTTTACTGGGGGGGGGCCAGGGGCTGCTGGACCCCCTTCTAAAGTGCAATGCAAAAGGGACATCATGTATATGCAGCGTTTGTTTGGGTTTTTGTGTTTTTTTGCTTTTGTTTTTCTTTTTGCAGTTATTCAATCTGTATGCATGGATGGAGTTTTTAACCTGCCGTACGTATATCCACCGATGGGCATTATTACCGCGTCGTGTAAGGGTCGGTTGTGTCACGCAGCACTCAGAATGCTGTGCTCAGCCTTCTTTTTCCAGAGTTGTGTTTTTTTCAGTCATTTCTTTAAGGGAAACTAAATGGTGTAGTTGGAGCAAAGCTTTAAGTGTGTCGGTGTGCTTCTGTGTGGCTGTGCTCTGCCAAGTCTGAAAGTCGCAGTGAGACCGAGGCCCTGGGACGTGTCCCCCAGGCCGCCCAGGTTACCCTGGTTGCTCCTGAGTTGCCAGGCTCCAGAGGGAGATGAACGTTTCTAAGGTGTGTGTGAGGGCACCGTCTCTTCTTGCCCTTGCACTGTTCCCTCCGGTCACCTGCGTGTCTCTGCCATCGATCAGGTCCATGCCTCCACGAGGTGACTTTGTCCCCAAATGTCGGGAAGACCTGGATATGCAGTGGCAGCTGGTCCCCAAGAGCTTGGAGGACCTGGACCCTGGGAAGGCCTTGTCCCACTCAGGCCTGCCCTTCCTGAGGCCCTTGGAGCCAGCGGGGTGGGAATCAGCCAAGGTGTGTGCCCTTCACCAGCAGCTGGGCCTTTCTGGGCAGCTCCCCGGGTGAGGGGGCGAGGAGGGGGGCTGGCCACTTCCATCCTCAGGGTGCAGCTCCACTCTGCAGGCCCAGGCTGGCCCCAAGCCCGAGACCTGCATCCTGTGGGTGCAGCTGCAGCTCAGATCTTTCCAGAACGGAGGAGAGGGGTCCATCCTGTAGGCTGTCAACTCCCTGTGTGTGACACCCACTACCGAAATGATTGTGTGTTCAGTTTAATTACTCATTATTTCTATGCTGAAAGAAGACTTAATGAAGGGAAAAAACAGCAATAACATATCAGGAGCAGCTAACTCATACACATAATACTCTGCTTTTCGTACGGAACTTGCTGGTGTACAAGCGTTGCCCTGTAAATACTCCCTCACACTCTGTGTCACGTGTGTGTGGTGGCTCCCCCTCCAGAGACCCTTTCTCACCTGGCAGTTGTCTTGTGTTCTGGGTTGTTTGTCACTGAGCAAGAACACGCTGCCGGCCTCCGCGTGAGCCTCCCACTCTTCCCGCCGCACCCCCTACCACCGCCACCACCAGGCCGGACGGGGTGGGGAAGTGGCGTGTTTTTGCTCAGAGCCAGGAGTCACAAACGACATTTTTTTTCAGTTAAGGAAAAAAACACAGCTCTACCTTGTATCCGCCAGGAGCGTCTGCATCGCGGCCCGTTCTCTCCTTCGCTGCTGCTAATGACAATATGATGACTTACTCTACTATTGGAGAACTATTTTTATGTAATTAATGTATGCTCTCCTGTTTATAAATGCCTGATTTAAAAAGAAAAAGAGAAAAAGCTTGGCATATTTATCTACTTCGCTCTGTACCTGTTAGTCCTTTGGCACCCACCCCCAAACAGAGGACCTTGTACAATAAAGGACTTTGAGAGTACCCATGGCCACCATGCTTGGGCGCCCCCACAGTCCCCTCCTCAGCCCCACACTCCTTCCCCACCCCCGGGCGCCATCCGGGCCTGAGCCTAGGGGAGGGGAAGGGGTGTCAGTCTGCCAGTCAGACCGGGAGGGCCTTCAGTCTCCACTGACCCCACGTGGACAAAGGGCATGGGTGGGCAGCTCCCTGGCCGGGGTGCCCTCTGTACCCCTAGGTCACTCTGAGCTGTGGCCCCTCATACTATGGATGTCAGCTGGAGGCCCTGCCCGGCCAGACTGGGGCAGGAGATGGGATGGGTGGGCCCTTCCAGGCCCTGCCTCTCTCGGGCCTGGAGACCTGCCCCCCAGGAATAGATGACCAGCTCCCCACAGAGCTGTCTTTAACAGGGAGGGTGACAGGTGATGTCAGAACTCTGAACCCAATGTGTTACGCTGAGGGAGAAGCATGGGCTCCCCCACTGAGCTGGTCCCCAGGGCGCCGAGCTTCCTGTGGCCACCTACATCTGGCCTCCCAGCCCGGCCCCAGCCCTTCAGTGGTCACCTGCAGAAACGGGGCTGTGGGGATTGAGGCACACCCAAGCTTAGGACTCCCAGGTTCCTGTCGTGTCCCTCCAACCTTGGGAACCCCCACAAACCTGGGCCCAGAAGTGCTACTGCACAGAGACCCCTGGGGAGGGGGTACAAGATGGTGGCCTGGGAAGGCCCACGCCACCCCAGGGCTGGGCTTCCACCCAGGCCAGGCTGGGGGTGAGAACAGTGGGGCCCAGGAGAAAGCCCCCACTCCCCTGGTGTGGTACCACCTAGGGCCTGAGACCAGCGTGATAGACCAGTGGGATGGGGCAGGCCCGGGAGGCTGGTCCCTAAGCCGCAGCCCCAGTCCTGCTGTGCGTCAGCTGGGAGTCCTGCCTGGGGTTCTGGGAGCCCCGAGGTGTGGATGACAAACCTACCTGGATGGGGCACACCTGAGGACCCACACCCTCTGCTCCCAAGAGCGCCCACCACCACCACCAGAGCGGCCTCCCTCAGCCCGTCACTGGGCCTGGCTCCCTTTCCCTCTGCCTCTCGCTGAGCTGTGGGGCCCCTGCCTGGGCAGGGCTGGACACCTGGGTGCCCCCCAGGGTGCCCTTCCGGCTTCACATGCCCAGAGGAGGGAGAGGGAGCAAAGGCAAGGTGGCCAGACCCAGTGGTCCAGGTTCCTGGGCCTTGCGGTTGTCTGCCCAACCACGGCCTCTGCCTGGATGTCGGAGGCGCCTCTCAGCACTGTCCACCAGTGAGTGGACAGCTGTCCACTGCAGCTGCTCAGGGGTTCCAGAGGCCCCTGCAGCCATAGGTGTGAGCTGAGGGGACCCAGGCCCTGCTTACGCCCAATGTCGGCCCATTGGACCTTTCTCCCAGCCCACCTGGAGGGGCAGCATGACCTTGGTGACCTCCTGGACTTGTCCTCACTGGGTGTTGAGTCCCACCACCGGTGTCCCTTCCCCAGGACCTGCCAGGTGTGTGCCCTGTGCTCTAGGCCCTGCTTGTGACCAGAGCTGCTGCGAGGCCTGGTCCTGGGTCCTCTGCCTGGTGACAGCCTTTCATCCTTCCCCAGAGCATTTCCTGCTGCCAGCGCCCAGTCCCCTTGGCCCTCAGGGCTCTCATCCTGTCTCACTGCTCGGAAGGTCCAAATGCCACCGAGGTCCCCACTTTAAGAGAAATGAGGGGTGAGGCCACAGGGGCAGGAGGCGGTCCTCTGGGGGATAGTACAGGAGGGGACTGCTTTGGGGGTGGCTGACCCTGATGGAGGCCAAGGCAGGCAGTGTGCGGTGCCCATATGGCCATGTGGGGGCCTTGGAGCTGGGTGGACAGTGTCCTGACAGCTCCTGGGGTCCCTGGGTTGCATTTTGGATATAAACTTAACAGCGTTAAAGGGCTCTGGGCACCTTCAACCCAGGGCAGACAAGACAGGTCGCCTGGCATCAGAACCCCCTTCCTGAAGCCGTTCTGAGGGGTCAGGGAGCCCCTGAGAGCTCCGGGGAGAGTTCTGCGTGGGACAGACCCCCTCCTCGGGTATTCCTGGGAAGAGGGCAAAGGTCGGAGGACACAGGATGACCCTTCCTGGCCACCCCTGGGCCACGCTGGCCAGGGCCTCTGCTGGGACCCACTGGCTGTCTCACAGCCTGGCCTTGTCTCCCCAGAGCCTGGTCCTGGCCCTGCGCCCCAGTCAGCCTCCTGCACAGGCCACCCTCTGGCCCCTCCCCTGCTGGTGCCACAGGCCTGGGGGTGAAGTGAGCCCAGGCTGGTGTTCCTGGGAGCCCACTGCATAACCCCCACCCCCAGTCTGTCCCTGCATACCCCCCACCCCCGGCTTTCACTTCTGCTTCAGTCGCCTGCAGCCAGGGCTCCGCCCTCTCCCCTGCTCTCAGCTGTGCCTGCCTCTCTCCATCTTGGGGTCTCTGCCCCTCCTCCAGTCGGTAGGCCCCAGAGCCGCAGTCTGGCCCCCAGGCCCCCAGCCACCGCCCTGTGGTCAGGGGCTGACTGCAGGCCGAGAACTTGGCCCTTATCTGGGGAGGCGGATGCCAGGCGCGCCCTGGTGGAAAGGGGAAGCTGCCTGCCCACTTACAGCGACAGCTGCACAGCCCACCCTCCTCTCGCTGGGCAGGCCCTCGGTGTGGCCCTCAGCCGCCACCCCACCCATGCCCCTCGCGCAGAGCCCCTCCCTGGCCCCTCTCCCTCACTTCTGCCTGTCCTGTCACAGGGTCACTCCTTGCTGGCCAAGAAGAGACAAGCAGGCCTGAGTCAGATGAGGGCGGCTCACGACAGTCCAGGACCCCCGCCCACACTCTGCTCGCCAGGCCTCTGGGATGCTGGTGGTCCCAGAGCAGCTGGCCAGGGCCCCGGCCATACATGGGTGATGTGGGTGACCACCACCTACAGGGACATGGGGATCCCATAGGGAAAATGGGGCCTGGCCCCTAGGGCAGGCTGTGCCCTCATGAGAGGGTGCGGCTGTGACCCTGCCGCGCTGGCCCCAGCAGGATGTGAAGCCAATCCCAGCAGGATAGGATTCCAGACCCTCCTCACTGAAACACTGAACTCTGGGGACAGCAGCCCCGCACCCTCTTGTCTGCCTTGCCTACTGCCAGGCCTTGGAAGGTGGGGGACAGCACTTTTGGGGCCTGGGAGCCCGCCAGCCCCGACCCCACATGTACTGATGACGTGCGCCCTGCAGGCCTCACGCACACAGCCATCTGTGCCCAGGCCTGTGCCAGGGGCTGCGGGCCGCGGGGGCCAAGGCGCCCAGCCTGGAGCAGGTGGCCCCACTGCTGGGGGTGGACAGACAGGTGGAGCCGGCCTGGCTTGTCTTTGGAGCGTCCTGCACTGGGCAGGTGTCCGGCTGCGCTGGGGTGAGGCCTTCCTGCTCTGTGCCTGGCCTGGCAGCCCTTACCGGCAGGAAGCTTTGCCCAAGCTCTCTCCCCAGGTCCCTCCTGCTGCCACAGAGCCTCATTCCAGAAACCTCCGGGGACAGGCACCTTGTGAAGGGGGCAGCGTGAGGTCAGGGCTCAGGTTCCTGTCCCAATGAGGCTCCCATCAGAGGGTACATGTCCAGGCCCACCTGAGTCCAGCTCCAGGCCCAGGCAGGAGAGGGGGCCCCGGTGCCCAACAACGCCCCCCAATACTGAGCTGCAGCCCCGGGGACAAGCCCAGAGAGGCAGGCCATGTCCAGGTCCCATGTCCACCAGGGGGGTCATGGGTGTGGCCTTGGCGTGCACATGCTGGTGTGCACGTGAGCCTGCAAGTGTAGCTGTGCCCACCCCATCACCCTCCACGTCCGCACCTTGGCCCTCCCTCCATGTTCCCCCAAACCTTCCATGTCGCCCCTACCATCCCCTCTCCCTCCCTGACACGCTTCTCCTCCCCCACACTCAGAACCCTCTGGCCTCTCCTGCCAGTTGGCCCTGGCCAGACTGCTCGTGGAGACCATGCCAGGCCGGGCCCACTCCAATGAGCACAGACTCCCTGGCCTGGCCGGCCTACTCCAGCGGCACTCCAGGCTCCATCGTCCATCTCGGCGCGGCTCCCAGGTCTACAGCCAGGTATCATTAGAAGCCCCCCTTCCCCTAAGGAAGGTGTGCACTTCATACCCTCCAAAGCCAAACCTCCCAGGTTCCGGCCAGGTGGGTGGGGTGGGGGTCAGTGGGTGACTCTCACTGGGCCTGGCAGAGGGTTCTGGGGGGCTGGGTTTGGCAGCTGCTTCTTAAGGTCATGTTGTTCTGTGTCCTCTGTGCCCCTCTGTGGGGCTCCTGGCCACAGCAGCTCCAGTGGGACCACCAGGACAGATGCCAGCCTGTGAGCGGGAGAGGGCAGCACACACGGGCAGGAGCTGGGAAGAGCCGCAGACCCTCTCCTGCCCAGCAAGTGGGTGTGGGGTCTGGGGGCTCCACTGGATGAGGAACGGGCTGGGCCACAGGGACTGACGGGACCCAGGTCCTCAGAGGGGATGGCAGGGCCGGAGGAGCCAGGAGTGGGAGGGACACATCTCCCGGGGCAGGGGTCTCCTGGCCTTAGGAGGCCGGCATCTACTGCAGTGTACGCATGCGTGTGCACACATGTGCAAGGACACGTGTGCAAGGACACGCCTGGGCTGCAGGGCTGGGCAGTGCGAGGAGCGCCATCAGGACCAGCAAGCAACACACCTCCTGCGCACGCTCTGCCACTGTGCTCAGGACTCCTGTGCTGGACTCACTGAGATGGCACCAACACGGGAGAGGTGACCCCAGTGCTGGGGCTGGCAGCCCAGTTCAGGTGCGGCTCCAGAGGCCGACCAGCCTCCTCCATGCCCTCTCCACTTGGGCATTGGCGGCTGCAGGAGCAAGGCAAGGTGACCAGAGTTCCCGTGGGGTCCAAACTCCACCCGCCTGCCCTTGGCTGGGCCTTGACCTGGTGGGTGTGTGGCTCACACCCTGACTTCCTGTTTCTAAGAAAACTGGTCCCAGAAAAGGCTCCTGTGGTTTGGGGAGGAGGCTCCCTGCCCAGGTCTGGGGAGCACTATGGTGGGCTGGGAGAGGGTGTTGCTGGGTCCAGACTCCAGGGGTTGTGAGGAGGGCTGCAGTGGGTGCGGCCTGCTGGTGTCACTGGCCCCTGTCACTGGTGAACGATCTGCCTTCCCCCCATGCCGACTTCCCCAGGCAGAAGGCAGAGGCTCGCTGGGACAGGCCTGAGTGTTTGGGGGCCCAGCTGGTTGGGGCTTCTCAGGCCTCAATATGGCCACCCTGGGTCTAGTCTCCTCTACGACTGACAATGTGTGATGGTCTCCCCTGCAGGCCCCCCTGTCAGACACGGGCCCTCCCCACACCCATCCTGCACCCCAAGCTTGGGGTTGGCAGTGGGCAGGGGTGCCCAGGGCAGAGGGCCTTGCAGTGGAGCAACCTTGCTGCTGATGCGTTAGGCCCCCCGCCCTTCCCTCATCCCTGGGCGGGGGCACAAAACCTCCCAGGAGTTCTAGTGCTGGTTCCTGGTCCTTCTGGCCTGGCAGGAAGCCGGCCGAGAGGGTACGCTGTCTCCCTGCGTGTCCCCCAGGCTCGAGGGGGCCGGTGTGCCCTCGGTTAGAGGACTCCTGGCAGGCCCTTCTGGGGGGAGCCTGAGCCCTTTTGCTGCTTTCCACACGGTCCCTGTTCCTGGCCCTGAGCCCAGAACCGCGGAGGCTGGAGACGCGCCCCCCCTCCCCGCAGCCCCCAGGTCTAAGGACCCATGGAGGTGCGGGGTGCGAGCCCGAGGTGCACCCAGCATGGGCCACTCCATGCGGGGCCCGACCCCAGTGAGTCAGACGGGGGAGTGGGCGTCGCCGGGCGGTGAGTCACCGGAGGGTGTGCGCCCCGTGGGCGGTGCCCAGAGCGGGGGGGCGGACCGCCCTCCAGGAAGGCCCCCGTCTTCAGTGGGGGGCTGGGTAGCCCGCTCCTTCCACGGAGTCGCCTCCTAGGGTCCGCGGGGTCAGGGAGTGTGGGTGTGTGTGTGGGGGGGGGTGCGGAGGAAGGACCGTGCAGCTGCCGACCCCGCCGCAGCCTCAGTTCCTATTACGCGCCCCACGGAAAGCCCGACTCAGCCCCGCGCCCCCGCCGCCCGGTTTCACTTCCCCTCCCCCGTCCGGCGTCGGCTGCGGAGGCGCAGGGCTCGACCTGAACTCTGCGCCGCCGCCTGGGACCCCGATGGGGGGTGGGCGGGGGGCTTCTGGCGGGAGCAGCGACGGGGCCCCGGGGGCGGCCCTCCGAGAGCCCCCGCCCCCCGCCCGGGTTGCCGTCTCCACGCCTGCGCGGGGCTCCGGGGGTGGGGCCGCGCGGTCCCCCTGCGGCCGCGGGCCGAGCCCTCCTCCCGCTATCCACGCGAGGGGCGTGGCCTGGCTCCTGCCGGCGGGGGGCGGAGCGAGTACGGGCGGGGCCCCCGAGTTGGAACGCGGTGGGGACCCAGCGGGGGAGTGGCCCTCAGGAAGGGGGGTCGGCAGGAAGCGCCCCCTTCGTCGTGAACGCATTAGCCCTTCCCACTTCTGCGTGGGGGAGGGGCTGGCTGGGCGGGTCCCTCGAAGGCGGGGAAGGGTCTTGTGGGAGCGCGGAGCTGGGGCTAGGATGGGGGGTCCCGCGTGCTCCGATCATTTGCTCCTGCGGGGGGAGGACGCTGATGTAACCAGGTGTCTGGAGTCAAAGCGCCGGGGGCCTGGGGTCGCGGGGGTGGGGTGGGCGGTCGGGGAAAGGCCGTGGGCGTGGGCCCAGCGCGACCCTGGCGGGCAGCAGAGGCGAAAACCGCAGCTCCCTGCGGGCCGGATGAGCGCGGGTAGGGGCGCCAGCCCCCGAGGCGGGGCTGTGGTGCACCCCAGAAGGCTCCCGCTCGGCCTGCTTGGATGCCCTTTCTCTAGGGTCCCGCCCCCGTATTCCGGCCAATCCGGAGGAAAACCCTTTCATTTAAGACCCTGCCGCCCCCTGAGCCCGGGAAAGCGTCCCTGCGCGGCCAGATCCCCGCCAGGCTCCATAGAGGCGCCAGGCCCTCTCCTCCTGAGTGTCCTGCAACAGGCCCGTAGGCGCAGACTTGAGCTGTCACCGCTGGGGCGGGCGGGCGGGGCTTGGGCAGGGGGGCGGTGTCGCACCGCCTTCGGGGCAGCCCCATGGCCCCCAGCGGCTCTCCTCTCCGAGCCCCACTGCCCTGGCCGCTGGTGGCTTGGCCGGGCTCCTGGGGATGCTAGCAGGGCCCTGGGTGGGAGGTGGGGTGGAGTTGCAGGATGCACCTACGGGACACCTCAAGACCGCGGAAGGCCAAGTGGTGATGGTGACCTGCTCCACTTTTAAAAATGCCCCCCCTTTCCTTGCCCAGGTCATCAGGATGGTGACCCCTTAATCCACCCACCCTGCTTCTCCCTGAGCTAGTTGTCCACCACTTGGGACCCCACCTCCCCCTGCCCAGCCCACAGCCAGGCCTGGCTCTGCCTTGTCTCTGGTGCCTCTTTCCCCCCGGGCCCCCTCCTGCCCTTCTCCACCAGCACACAACAGGCCCAGCACCCCACTCCTGGCCTCAAGCCCCTCCCATCCCTGCTGTCTAGCAGGTTCTTTCCTGATCAGGGCCTGTGTAGTGTCCCAGGTGCGCCCCCAAATCCCATCCAGGGCACACCCCCCTGAAGGTTCCTGCCCAGTTTCTGCCCCACCTTTGCCTTCTTTTCCAGCGGGGGCCTTGAGAGGGGAGCTCACCAAGGGTTTGCAGCCAGGATGAGACGCTGGAGGGCCATCTCCACCTGGGCCTGGTGCAGAGGTCCCTGTGGCTGCCACCGCATATGACCAGCACCTGTGCTGCGGGGAGGGCTAAGGAGGGTCAAGGGCTTGGGGGTGGGTAGCACCCCTCCCATGCCGTCCCAGGCTGCCCAGGAGGTTGGCCCCACAGACTGGCTTCCCCCCCCCCCCGCTGGGCTCTGGAGCAGCATTTGCGGGGACACGTCCTGGTTCCCAGTCTCTGGTTGTCTGGGGGTCAACTGGCTGGCTGACAGTTCTCAGAATCCCTGGGTGGAGTTACCGGGAAGAGGGGTATCCAGTGTTTTTAGGAGTGTCACGGTCCCGGGGCCACACAGGGGTTGGGAAAGGCTGCCCTGGCGTCTGAGCCTGGCACATCTGGTGTGCCCTGGCGCACAATGACAGCCTTATTTATAGTCTCCGTCAGAAAATGTCCCTGTCCATAGCAGTGGGGGCAATCTGCCTGCTTCTCAAGACCCAGGACCTGTAACCAAGATCTGCAGTGTGGGTCACTGCCTGTCCCGCTCACGACCCCGGCCACTCTGGCTCGCTGAGGGACCGCAGCAGTCTTGGGCCTGGGTTACCCAGGGCCAATGGGCAGGGGGCCCAGAGCAGACCCTCCCCACCTGCTCAGGCCCTCACTTAGCTCCCAAGGTCCCCTGTACCTGCTCTGTCTCTTTCATCTGAGAGGCCTTGGGGCTGGCCCTCAGTTGCTGTCCCCTGCCCTAAGGGGACAGGAACAGGAAGGGGCAGGCCCTGGGCAGCTGTGTCTGTTCCCAGTGGTGAGCTGTTCGCCTGGCAGTGGTCTTGCTGGAACAGGCCCGGTGACTCCCAGGACTGAGGGCTCCCAGGGTGCGGAGGGCCGCCTCAGGCGGGCAGTGAGCTGGCAGGGACCAGGCCGCACAGGAACCAGGGCACCCTCTAGGAAGCCCTGCCTGGGGGAGGGGGGTGCTCCTCACAGCTGGCCTTACCACCCGCCTGGCACCGAGACCAGGCACCCAGCCCAGGCTGTGGAGAAGAGAGGCCTCCCTGAGGAGTGTCCTGGGTGACCCGCCAGCCAGTGGGAAAGGATTCTGGGAGGAGCTGCCTGTGCCAGGTGGGGCTCGGTGGGAGGGTGGGACAGACAGGGTGGGCTCTGTTTGGTGCTGACCACAGGGCCGGCCACTGGGTAGTCTGAGAGGCTATTCTCGCCAAGGCCTAGGCCCCCACCTCTCGGTCTCTCTCTCGGTCTCTCTCTCCGTCTCTGGCATGCTGACTTGGAAGGAGGACGAGGCTCTCTCTTCATGGACCCCCTGTCCAGCCCTGGAGGAGGCTGACTGTGCTGGTGATCAGATGGCCACACGGCTAGGGCCCCAGGCCCAGGGATAGCCCTGACACTGCCCTGCCCAACTCTGGGAGCAGCGACCACTTCCCACCTGTTGTGGCCCCACCTACCAGGCCGGGCTCCAGTGCTCAGAGTTCCAGAGGGGAGTTGCAGGGCCCACTCCTGGCCTCAGCGCCCCGGCTGGGACGGGCCACCACGCCTCATCACTCTGCCCCAGAGGTCAGCGGGACCAAAGGGGGACTTGCCCTCTGTGCCCTAGGGCTCTCCAGGCCGGCTGCTGGCCATGTGGACTGGCAGGCAGGGCGATGGCCAGTCACTGGCTTAGGGTTGGGCCGTGCTGCCTCTGGGTCTCCACGGATCCAGGGTGGAGGGACGTGGGAGCTGTGGGGGCTGAGCCTGGGGGGCACTGTCTCCAGGTGAGGCCCTGCCTGGCCTGCAGGCAGCCACCTTATTGTTCTGGCTGTCGTGGTCCAGGCTGGACATGGCCCCTCGAGAGACCCTTACCTGGCATACTTGATGGCCAGGGCCCTGTCTGTGGCCACTCAGGCCCCTGCTGACCCTACCTCTTTTTGTTCTTTCTTTGAGAATTCAGGATTGGCTGGTAAGACAGTGTGAGGACTTGGGGGTCTAGTGGAGGCGGGAGTATGTGCTTCTGATGCCTGACCCCACCCAGCACTCTCCATGCCCTCAGTGGAAGTCCAGGCAAGTCCCAGGGGCTGTGGCCCCTGAAAAGTCTGCTGTCCATCAGCTGAAGTTCATTGGCCAGGGGAGGCCCCACCACCCTTGGGCACGGCCGCTCCCTCACGCACAGAGGCCTGGCAGAGGCTGGGCATTGGGTGCTATAGGGGACAGCCCACCTTCTTCACCCCAGAACCCCGGTCCTGCCCAAACACAGGCCCCTGGGGTCTGAGCGCGCCCCATCCTCACTGAACAGCGCCTCCCACCCGTGGGGCGGTGGCAGAAGCCCATGTGGTCATCTCGTTGGGCCTGACCGCCCACCAGGAAGCCGAGGTTGAGGCTCTGCCTGGACCCGCACTCGGGTTTGCTTTGATGATTCTGGAAAGTAGGGGGTTTCCAGGTCATGTGTGTGCGGAGATGTCACTACCGAGAAGCCCGCTAAGCTCCTGCCTACAGGGTGCCCAGCGTGGGCAGACCTCTACCCCACCACCTGGGAGGCCCACAGCCGTGTGCGGCCTTGACTCTGGACTTCCTTCCTTTGTGACTAAATGGCATTGACTTAGAATTAAGTGCCCAAGGACGCCGCCTGATGCTGGGAGACACAGCAGCTGCTTCTGTTCCCAGCACTTTCTTTTTCCAAAATGGAAACATTATTTTCATTGTTTTTCTTTTGACAGAAATGTGGTTTCATCTTGAAGAGAAAGAACTGCAGAGCGATTTGCCAGAATCTCGGGGGCAGACCAGGGCAGGAGATTTTGAAGAGCATGTGGGCTTTTGGCCTGCACCCTAGGCCCCGCCCCCTTGCCACACCCTCGGAGGGGGCTTGGTCCCATAGTGACCCCTCTGCCTCCAGTGCACTTGGGGAAGGGAGGAGCCAACCCCCCACCCCCCGCACCCCGGGGGGGCCCAAGCACTATGACACAGGAGTCAGCAGTTCCCACAAACAGGCCCTTTCTGGGGACTCAGGGCCGGGACACTGGCAGTCCATCGTCTCCTAATGGGCAGTCAGAGGTGGAAGTCTGCTGAACCAGGCCGGCGGTATCTGTGGCCATTTGAGATGATGGGACTAAAAAGAGGCTGGCACACCCGGCTTGCTGCCACCCCACACCTCAGGCGCAGAATTACAAGTTCCCGGTCATGGAGGTTCCAGACGCCCTTTGCCTCACTGGCTGTCATGTAAGCTCCCGCAGTGGCCTGCCCCTGCTCTGAAAGCTGGTCCTCTGGGTCCTGGGATGGAGTGCGTTGGAGAGCCACTTGGGGCCAGGGCTCTGCCCCTCGGGTCCTGCAGGGCCATCAGCTCCATCGGCTGCCCCATCCGCCAGCCCTTGATTGGGGTATCGAGGCCAGTTCACTTGTTTTGAGGAAAAACTGGGTGCGAAACCTGCTACAAGAAAAGAGGAAGGGCGAAGTGATGGGCGGCTGCCAGGGGTACGCGGGAAAGGCTCTCTGACTTTGGGTTGGCTTTGATGTAGGGGTCTTTTCCTCATCTGCTGCCTCTTGCTTTCCACACATAAGAACACAATTATGCCATGTGGACCTACCTTCTAAAGACAAATGAACCTCTTCTACATCCATCCATCATGGTAACATCCATCACCCACCCATCCACCTGCCTGGCCATCCATCCATCCATCTGTCTGTCTATCCATGCACTCATCCATCCAGTAATCCACACTTCCCTCCATCTACTCACCTACCCATCCATCCACTCACCCACCCACTCACCTATCCACCTATCCATCATCCATCATCCATCCATCCATCACCCATCCGTCTGCCCTTACACCCATCCTTCTAGCTCATCACCTGTCAGTCCTTCCTGCCTCACCTCCTTGCATTGTCTGTCTCTGTCCCCCACCCTGCCTGGCACAGCATGTGCCCGATACACTTGTTCACCAGACAGAGCTGTGCCGAGGGCCTTCTGTAGGGCACACGCTGTGCTAAGTGCTGAGCCTGCGCGATGAGCAAGCGCCTGCCTTCAGGAGATGACGAACAAGACAAGCGAAGTGGGTGGCGTGCTGGCTCGTGACGTGTGCAAAGGAGGGAAGATGAAACGGAGGGACTAGGAAGTGTCACTGGGGGTGGGTGAGGCGGCTGAGACAGGTCTCCTGGGTGCTGAGCAGCCTGGACAGAGTGAAGGGCACACGCAGAGGCCTGAGGCAGGAGTCCAGGGGCCCCTGTGGCTAGAATGGAGAGAAAGGAAGTAGGAGACGAGGGCACGAGTGGGGGGACCAGCCTTGAGGTCTGGGTAATGACTTGGGTGTGACCTGACACCTGCTCTGCGAGGAAGACATGGGCAGGGGTTGGAGCCCCAAGAGGTGTGTGGCGGGATGGGGTTGGGTGGGGGATGAGCTTTGAGGACTTGCTGGTGGCCTCAGCGTGTGAGAGAAGGCAGGGAGGTGACAATGACCTGGGTCTGAATGACATTTTGGTGTCACCAGCTGAGCAGGAGGAGCCGGGCGGGGGGGGCGCAAGCAGGAACTCAGTTTGGGGTGTGTTTAATTTGAAGTGCCCTCGATGCTCAAGGGTGGCTGACCCACCGTTGCTGCAGAGCCCATGGGGAGAGGGGGTGACAAACAACCGTCCCACTGCCAGCCTTTCCGTGCTGACCACATGTCTGGCTGCCCGCAGGCCTCCCTGGCAGCTCCCCTACTCGCATCCAGCCAGCCTCGATCACTGTGGGTGCGTTTCAGAGGCGGCTATAACATCTGAAAAGTCTCCCTGCAGACACGCACGCAGCACGTTTCCGGAAAACCAGTCCTCTGCTCACTGCATCTTGATGGACTTCCCAGGCTGCCCGCAGAGCCCCTGAGCCCCACCAAGGCAGGGGTCGTAGGAGGAGACTGAGGGGTCAGCTGGGCCAGCTTTGCTGCAGGACCCAGTGGCTGGGAACTCACCCTGGGGAGAAAGTGGGTGGTGCAGATGTGCCAGCCGAGAAGGGTGCCCAGTGACAGCACGGGTCCGGCCTGGGGACACCCAGAGGAGCCACCAAGTGTGTCCCAGGTGCGTGGGGCGGGGCCATTCCATCAGCATACAGTGCCACTCCGTAGTCAGTGTTGAATATTTTATTAAAGCCATTGGCTATGGGGTGCGTGGGGGCTCCCTTGGCACCCTCACTCAGACCCGCTGGGGAGATGGCGGCACTCCGGAACGCAGGCGCATTGTATCCTTCCTCTCACAAGGAGGTGGTCTCCTGGGAGGGCACTGGCTGCTTCTTGCTGTATCCAGGCGGCCCTCCTAGTTTGGGGCTTCGGGACCTTCTCCTGGGATGTGGAGTTGCTGGCCCGTCCCCTTTGGAGACACCCGAAGGTGTTTGAAGGCGGTGGGCAGCGTGCGGCCCAGGAACGGAGGGGTGGTCACGTCGCGGATCTTGATGACATACTCCCCTGCAAGAAATGAGACGGCGCGCGCTGGAACCGGCCCCCAGCGGCCACTGCCTGTCGGGCTCCTCCCCTCCCCACCTGCCCCGCCCCGGGGCTCCAGGCCGCCTCCTCCCTGTGACCCCAGGACCTGGCTGCCACCAGCCCGGACTGCAGGGCCCACCGTGCAGGTGAGTAAATGCATTTTGGGTAAATGGACCACCCCCAACCTCAGCGCACAGGCCCAGGCAACGCCTTGGGTGTCCTGGGGCAGAGCTTGTGGACACACGAGATCAGCTCTGTAACGTGGGCTGCTGGTCAAGGCCTCGGGAGGGTGGGCGTACCCACAGACCCCCTCCCCGCCGCCGCCGGGCCTTGTGGCTGACTGGGTGCCTGGGTCCTTTTGAAAAGACTTTCCCATCTTTTTAGGAGAAAAATAATTCATTTCCTCTAAAATGTTTTTTAAAATAAGGCTCTGAAGACCTGGTCGTCTGGGTTGTTTTTGAAGCCCCCGCCCGCCAAGCCGTGGGAAGGGTCATGGGGATCGTGGGGCAGTGGGCGGAGCCAAGGGAGGGGGCGTGGGGCGGTGGCAGAGGCTTGGGGGCGTGGCTGTGGTGTGGGCGGGGCCTGGACGTGGGGGCGGTGGGGTGGG